ACGAGTTGTGGTAAACAAGCGAAATGAAATATATCTCAGTTCAAATTTGTTATTACATGCCTGCCATTTCTAAAATATGGCCTGCTTTTGGCCATGGTAGCCCCCACTATTTCGAGCCCTATCTTGCAGGAATCGAACATGCGATAGAAATTGACATAAGGTTGTGATCTCCGATGCCCTTCTGTACCATCATGCACTGGATACTACAAAGTCAAAGGACATTCCTATACCTGCTGCATGGACCCCTATAAGTATACTAGAATTTAGAGCTAAATAAAGTTTTCGCAAAGAGAAACTAAATGTCGCACGCATATTACCCGAGGCGTATCTAGAGTATGAATCTTCTCTTTTGGAAATCTAAAATTGACGAAAAAATATCGTTACATTTTTTTGCAAGCAATACTAACCCGATGTTAAACTCGATTTCATTGCATTGCAATTTGTGCGGTCGTTTTGAAATCACCAGGTGATGGACCCCTGTATACAGTATATACAATCTATGACGGACGATGATAGCGCTATCCATCGTGCAGGTAGCGATTTTTTCAACATTTCAAAACGCCTGAAAAGCTGTGAAACGACGGACACGGAACACGTAATTAACATAGAGAAACTTTTCATAAATATAATATTTAACAAAAACATTTTCCGTGTTGATATACAGTTATGTCAACACTCGGCATGGAAATTGGGAAAACTCGAAATTGCGTGGAAACACGACGCCCGGAGAACGGAGTGTTTTCGGTTATTGCTAGATAGTATACTTCAAAATAAGGTTTCCGTTTATACAACTTAGAAAAAACTATCCTAACGCAAAACTAAACCCTAACCCTAATACTAACCTTAGCCTAACCCTAACTTATTTTAAAAATTGATATAAAAACGGAATTCTTATTTTGAAGTATACTATCTAGCAAGTGCTGAGTGTTTTCACGCAATTTCGAGTTTTCCCAATTTCCTCGCGTGTTGATATAACTGTATACTATACAGTATCAATACGGAAAATGTTTTATATTTCTTTAAAACATACATGTAGCATGCACGAAGAAGGATAAAGAAAGAAATTTTCCGTGTTGACAATGAGTTATGTGAACACGGCTCTTAGCCAATCAGTGTTCAGAATTTACAAATGCTATATTATAAAAAATAATATAAAGTTTAACCTGGGTTATACTATAATCAACAGCCAAATTTATCGGCGGATATAGAGCTACCCGGCTTTCGTGCATACCGGTATACACAGGGCTCCCAATAGAATTTGGAGTAGGAGGGATTTTGAAAGATGTAGACGTCTAAGTGGCGCCGATGGTACAGGATACCACTCGTCTGTGGGGAGGGGGGGGGACCGAGAAATTTAAACCCTCTGAAATGGCATTTACAGCCATTTTTGAGATTTAGATTTTGGAGGTTTTGCCATTGTTTCGTAAAATTATGTCAGAAAAGCAAGACTTGACATTTCCCTTGACATTTCTGCAGTATAAGGAGGAAATATTTGGTTTGTAATTTCGAGAAATATAACTGCGGCGATTGTCTATACGTTTATAGTGTCAGCTTCTATATTGGGAACTCTGGCTACAAGTACAGCAATTCTGTGTCAGTATCATTATAATGTGACTGTTAAAAATCATTTTTATGGAATTGATGCAAGGACTATTTACTGTAAATCCCTGTAAGTAAGAAATGGAATTTGTCACAATAATTGTATGCATGATTAAAATAAAGTGATAGTAGTCGATTTTTAATACAACGGAATAATGTCAATCCAACAAACCTTTGCTCAACAAGTTTATTAAAATTCTTCTTCACATTGTTCTGCTTCTTTGGCGGGATATCACGAATTCCCTGAAATCACGGTACAGTATTATTTCATAAGTCATGATTGTATTTTCTTTTTTCCAAAATTCTATAGCTTGTCCAGCATTTGCATGTTCGTTTGAACAGCATATGCATGGACTTCTGACATTGCAAAATAAATATTACTAATTTATCCATTTTTCACTTTTCTAAAACTTGAGTTTATAACAGAAGGATGCATCGAAAATTTCTCTTTACACAAAACCTAAATGTTATACTTACTGTACAGGCAAAAGTTAGATTTTCCTATAATTTTCATCAATGTTTTATATACGAAGTCATATAGATCTCTCTCTCCCGCTAAAACCGTGGACCATGATTACAATTTTGAGCGCGAAAACACCAGCGAATCAAAACGCTGAGATGATAAATTTCACATGTGAAAAGTATAGTCCGCCGTGGAGATGCGATTTTTATTTCACGCGTCTACGGCACGAAAATCTCTATTCTTACTTTACAGTATGTTATTATTAGCATGACAAAATTACTGGATGCTAATTGAATGAGAGGAGTACAATTATTTCCCAAAACAAACAAAATGGCGGAAAGGTATTTAAACAAATGAAATTGCCTTAGAGGAACTTAAAGCAAAAGAACTAAATGAAAATACGAACAAAAGCACCAAATTTTGGTTGAAAGTCTGGCAGGACTGGGCTTTGGCGAAAGAATATGATGTCGACATTGAGAATTATCCAATTTTTTCATGCTAATAATAAACAAGTAATCATGCGATGTTGCTCGTACACTTAGGGATTAATAGTACTCGTGATGTTTGGAAATTTTGCCAAATTGGACTGGCCCGGCGGCTCGTCCAGTTTTGGCAAAATTGCTAAACATCACTCGTACTATTAATCCCTAATTGTACTCGCAATCGCATGATTACCCGTATACTAATAAAATAAAACAACGAAAAATATAATATCACGAAAGTTCGAAACCCTTGTAGCAATCTCAAATACCTGAACAACGTGGAAACAAGATGGTATTCCCTGTGCAACAACACAAGACAAACACTTCTCTCCGAATGGACCTGGGGTAGCATTGGCTTCCATAAGAAATACTATCACATCAGCTGCCTGAATAAACGAATTGAATGAAAAATAACTGCTAAATTTAGGATCTGTTAAGGTGGCTCAACACTGTTTTTAAAAAAATGGAAAATTCACGATTTAGATGCGTATTTTTGGACAATTATTACTTGTTGATAAACAAAAAGTACTTTACTTATATAAAACAACATCTAAAGAGTTTGAATTTTCGCACAAAAGTTACGAAACTGCCGTTGCTATGGCAACAATGACGTTTCATAAACGACATTTTTTAAATTGTCAACGTGATTCAATATACTAAGAAAAATAATTTTATTAAATAAAATTTGGGGGTCACCGATGTCGTTTACGAGTTAAATTACTTTAAAGCCAAAATATCCGCCATTTTGAAACGTCATTGTCGCCATAGCAACGGCAGTTGTGTA